GAATTACAAATTTTGAAAACCGTTCGCCTGACGGTTTTCATAACACTACAGTCTATTGGGGAAAACGAGTATGGTAAAACTGGTCACTCAAAGATTTTTACTTTTTTGAGGCACTTCTTGATCATTTTGAAGCGCAACTTTTTTAGGGCTTCAATATTACACCATATCGCAGACACTGATAACACTTAGGGCCGTGTATCTCAGATTTAACATTGTTAAACGATCCCTTTAAAGATTACCAGAAGAAGATGAAGAAGGGTAATAGGCCTAAATCATCCATTAAAAGCATTGTGCATAAATATGGATGCCATGTGTCATGTCAAAGGCCTCAAAGGCCTTACATACAATGTTGAGATGTCATCAACTGTGGATCACATTGTACACAGTTCAAGTTCTGCTGCAAGGCATTAATGTACATTTGCCACTCTCCACCCTGGTGTATAACAAATGGGTACCTGGTAGAAAATAATTCCTTGACTGCTTACAGTTACAGTACATTACGGCAGCTATGTAGGCTAAAGCCAGATGATATAAGTACTTCTTAGGTGCGCCTTGAGCACGATTCCTTGGGATATATGTGACAGTATCATTGGTGGCAGGCTCTTCATTTCACAAGTTACCAACAAAATTAGTTTTTCCTTCTTTAATGCTGAATGTATAAATATGATTCTTGCTAACTTGGATTGAGCACTGTACCATCAATTAAGGGTCTGTAAAAGAAACACCCATAACATAAATAGTACAAAGTCAGTGATTTTGATTGTGCTCATGGAATTGCATACATTAATTGTTGCTAATTTAGACAAACCCCTGACAATATTTCAGGCTCTTCAGAGTATTTGATTAAAGCAATAATTATTCACAATGCCCGGTTTCCACATAGTGACACATGATGTCTGTATCTACAATGTAGGCATATAGTGATTGTGCGTGATCAAACTGTCAAACCATTCACAGACAGTCATCGTTCAAATCAAAACACATTGTTGACTCTTTTTTACCAATGACATACCGACGGTTAAAACTACCCACGCTCTGCCCTTGAAAAGTGTGACTCGCATGTCATTGTCAATGAGACACGCTGCTACACTGTCATTGTAGTTGGAAATCGTAACAACAACGGCCAAAGTTAAAAATGCTTTTCAATCCATTGTTTTCTTTGGGGGTCAACTTTATTTAGGTACTGACTCAACTGGGTGGATGGTCGACAGATGACCGTTATTTACAATTTTTCAATTTTGAGAATTCATTCATAAAGTCCTCGGTCATAAGTGTACAGTAAGTGTGCACTTCAATTGTGGTTTGGTAATTTGTAGGATAAGTATCATAAATTTTGAACAATATACACAATTCGTTTGCAGAACATTTGAGCACTTTTGATCAAAGGTCATAAAGTAGCAATGTACATTGTTCATTTCAATTCAATTCAATTCAATTCAATAATGGTTTTATTTGACAATGCTTTGTAGCAAAAGGCTGAATTGGGGATGTTTACAACAATTTCTCAATATCATACACATTACATTGTGCCATTACAAATTGCTTTAAAAATCAAATGACAAATTGTAGTATAAACTACCTGAGAATACAAACAATCCTCTATTATTCATGTACACTGTCTGCTTAAGGAAATGTCAATAATTGTAAAATGGTCCATAATTGTAACAAGGTTTCAAAGTAATTCACTCCTAAATTGCTGGTGTATAATTGCTGTCCTAAGCGAGCCACTAGCCATTCATTTTGTGCTCAGGGACAGTTAACTATGTAATTAGTTATGATATCTTTGTGAACTTTATCCTAAAATATCAAGGTAATTTCCCCCAGTTCGGAGGTTGATTGCAACATTTTTCCACACGTCTCTGTTTTCTGCCATCCATCCCATAGATTCTATGTAAATAATATGAGCTACTGAGCATTCTCGATCGAAGGTCATACACTATCAGTGTTAGTTGTGTACATTGTGCGAATCATCTTATTTGTACATGTTATCATTCAAAGAATGACATCGAAATTGTAAAGTGACCTGTTCCCTTTATTGGCTCCATTTATCAATTTCTATTTGGCATTAAACTAACAAATCATACAGCAGATTATTGAAGTTGATAGCTTGTGTAGTTGTGCATTTATGTTGATGTTGTTTACTTTACCAGGTAAATAGGAGAATTAAACTTTTACAACTTTAGTAAAGTATTCTACCTCTGATATTGTGGACATATATATGTTTGATCAAAGTCCAAAAGCTAATAGGAAGGATGTAGAGCTATGTATTTGTAGGCCTGGAGTTGTAATTGGCTCATAGTAACGAAAAGGAGTGCTAAGCAATGTGCCTGTGGAAAGGTCTAAAACAGTTTGTGACAGGGACTTTAAAAAGAGTTTGATATAATTATTGCACTATTAAAGAAGTGACAGGTTTATTTGCTATGGTAAATCAGTTTGAAGTAGGATATCCTACATTCACATCCACTACAGTAGTCCACCAGAATCCACCATTAATTTTAAAGAATTGTAAATCATACTGTCTCTATACTCAGGGCTACAATGTCAATCAAGTGGAAATGTTTTAAAAGTTCTACTAGCAAATATATGTGTATGATAATTGAAGTAAATGAAATTTGCCTAAAAGGTAAAGCTCCAAATTGAGTTGTTACATGTACATAGGAGATCTACCCTTCCTCTCTTTATTTTTCTTCTATGTTGTGTTGAAAATGCTCCAAACATGATGACATACATTTCTACAATATTCTTCATTGATTTGGGTTTTGTTTATCATTTTGCTTTTGCTTGTTCTTTTTTTTTGGGGGGGGGGGGGGAGGGGGGGGGTATAGTTTTTTTCTGATGAAATGTGATTTGGATCACTTTGCATCATAATAAGTTTAATACAAGAATATAACATCTTGAATGTAAACAGTCATTGTGGTTAATATTCATCCCAATTACATTAGGGGTATTGTATCTTTTCCGGTCTGATCCAGTTAAGATTCTGGGTCAGTTCTTGACGATCTCCTGCTGGTGTAGGTCCTGGTTGTCCTGCTGGGAGTGTCCCCTCTGGCAAGTCGGTAGTCTCTCCTACAGCTGCAATGGGCTTATGCTTTGGCATGGACATGATCGGAAGGACTTACAAGATATCAACTTAAAGGCATCATTTAACAGTGTTAAATCTGAGATGTACGGCCCTACGTGTTATCAGTGTCTGTGATAGGGTGTAATATTGAAGCCCTAAAAAATATTGTGCTTCAAAATGATCCAGAAGTGCCTCAAGAAAGTAGAAACCTTTGCCCAATAGACTGTAGTGATATAAAAATTGTTAGGAAAACAAAAAAATGAAATTTTAATTTCCAATCATAAATATCTTGATAATCAGACAGGCAATCTGCTTGTAAAAGTCATGGGATTCCTGACTGACCTAAAGGTTTATAATTATCATTGCAGCATGAGCTAAATCCAGAATTTTGTTTCAAAATCTGAGGCAATGTTAGCGAGTCAAGATATACAAGTCCGATTGCCAGAAATTATAACATTGCATATCGGGTACAAGAAACTATTCTTAAATAATGATAAAATATCTTTTTCTTAAACATTCTAATGCATTAAGGTGCCCCCTCAACCCATGCATTTTGCATGTATTTAATTATAAATGTTGTAAAATACAAGGGTACATGTATGTGAATATTGCTTGCCTCATGCAGTCCCTAACCATCTGGTTAAGATTAGCCTGTATTTCGCACCCTTACTTGAATAATGATTGAAATCCAAACCAGGGGGCATTTTAGTGGATTTCAGCATAATGAGACCAGTCTAGCCAGGGACTCAGCAAGAGGGATACCAGCGGAGGCTCATTTTCTAAACCATAAATTCTCTGAAATTGCGTGATAATATTCAGAGGTCTATGACCTCAGTGGTGTGAGTACTCATCGACTGAGGTGTAGCCAGGGGCACAATGGGGACATGCCCTTCTCCCTCCCTCTGTTCATCTGTTAAAAAATGTAGTCATTCACCAAACTAAGTTAAGGCTTGTTTAGATATGGCACAGTAGACCGTCACAAAAAGCTGCCATATCTTTTTTTTAAAAGGCAATTGTGCTCTACATAGGACTTCAGCATATCCACTGAAATCTGCGTACGATTCAGAAATGTGGAGCATATTACACTTTACGCCATCATAAAAAACCGCAGCGTTTTCGCAACGTTTTCGCAACGTCATATATATCTGAACAAGCCTTTAGGTGTCAAGACGTGAACCGCAGAACTTAGGGGTCACTACCACCAAGACTTTTACCCTACCCCAACTATATGTGTCTCTGTGATTTTGAGTGTCAACCCCCCCCCCCCCCCCCCTATTCATCAACAAGCCTAGTGGCTACGCCATTCATTGATTATGTGTAAATTGGGTCATGAACTCCCAATGGGTGAGGAATGTGGGAGGAAATCGTGAAAACAAGCCCTGTACACAAATTGTTTACTGCTTTACAATTGAAGTGTTTTGGGAGCTTTGGTCTTCCTCATGATGTGGGGCTCAATCTCTAGCATATTATGTAGAGGCTTTAGGTACATGTATTTGAAAGTGATAAAATATAAAGCTTGGGAAAAGAAAGATAGGGAGAGAGAGAAAGAGAGGAATGGATGCAGAGATAGAGAGAGAGACAGAGAGAGAGACAGAGAGACAGAGAGAGAGGGGGAGGAGGAGGGGGGGGGGGCAAACAGAGAGAAGAATAGGGAGAGGAGAAGAGAAAATGGGGGGGGGGGGTTGAGTAAAGAGATATATTTTTAGGGAGGGGGGCTCTTGAGAGCTGTTATGTACATAGTTTGATATTTCAGTGCTCTTCTTTTGCATTTTTGAGCAAAATTGTATTTTTCATGTTATATCAAGAATATTAATGCTTCATAATCTGCTATCATTGCTGTGAATACATTCAATAAAATCTCATAATTGAAATGGCATCCTGCATTATACTATGTCAATGTTAATAAAAATCCTCTCATTTTTCTTATTTTGTTTTACAGGATGAGGAAGGAGGAGATGAAGGAGAAAAACAAGAAGCAAATGGAAACGGTGCTAGTCATAACGGAAACGATCACGGGGTAAGCTATTATGATCTTTCATTGTACACGTATAAATGTTTAATTAATTTGGTTAAAAACAAACTTGACGTTACATTGAGAATGTATTCTCAGTATGGTAAGCTTTGGTTCCTGAAGTCCTGTATTAGGCTGCTGTCCACTATAGATCTACAAAATTTGTCTTGCAAACAAAATCATTTGTCAGGCTGATCCTCAAAGCTTGGGTCTTTGGTCTTGCATGCAGAACTTCAGGCTAGTGAACCTTCAGTCGACTGGAAAAGAATTTAAAACTATCATCATTGGTTGAATAGTTAATATATTTTTCTCCTACAGTAAGTGCAGTTCCTTTAACTTTCATTTGCCATAAACCTCACAGATCTGAATTTGGAGTAGTTTTTTAAATAAAAAAGAATGAAAGAAAGAGAGGGTTAATAACAGAGGATGAAGGAGAGAGAGAAAGAGAGCAAGAGATGAGAGAGAGAGAGAGAGAGAGAGAGAGAGAGAGAGAGGAGATAACGAGAGAGAGAGAGAGAGAGAGAGAGAGAGAGAAAGAAAGGGGGAGGGAGGCATTGATTGCATGATGGTCTGCTCAATAATAGGCATCAATGGGTTTTTGTGCACAAACTTAAGAAGAGAAGAAGAAAGAGAGAAAGAAAAAGAAATAGGAGAGAGGGAGAGTTATATAGTGCTCGCACCTGTGTTGGTGAAGGGAGAGGCATGTGTTCTTATTGTCCCCATTTGAAGTAGTAGCACAGAAAGAAAGAGATAGATAGAGGTAGATGGAGAGATAAGCCATTACAATAGTACAGGATTCTAGAAATATAGGAAAGCAGTTTAAGAGGTGTAGGAAGGTACAAGCAGGAATACACATAAGAAGAATCACAGATTCCATGCAGTACTTTAACATCCAAAGCAGATAGCAGAAGTGCGTGGCAGAGCCATAAATCCCTTCTCTCCTAAATCACTTTGAAGATTTGGGATAAAGATTTAACAAGTCTTGCGCTAATCGGCCTGACAGTGCCTTGAAGTATAGTCTTGCAAGTCTGACTGTGTGGATTTGGAGACTTGTAATTTAACAAAGCAATAACTATCAAATGTGAATATTTATTAACACATTAGTTTAGGAGTTTTTAGGATTTAAGAGGATTTTATGATTTATATTTTACACAAGATATTAATACAGAGCAACTGGGTATGAAACGATGAAACGGTTGGCTCAAGACCGAGGAACTTGGAGCGAAACTTGGAGAGACATTTGATATAGAATTTTGAATGGGTCACTGAACCTGTCATAAACTGACAGATCACTATTGATGATGATTAATATTATTATTGATTATGATATAAAAAAAAAATAATCGTATTAATTTGATGAGTAGTCTTGATTATGGTCATCGTGTGTTGAAGGAGTAGAAACAATACATCTTGTACTGTATATTTGGCCTTCTTTTTATTACAATATTGGCAAGTTAGAATAGATTGTGACTTATGCATTGCAGCTAGCAAATGTTCTGCTACAAACATATAACTCCGGCCTTCTTCCCTGGAGGGATACTAAAAAAGAAAATTTAGTAGTAAAAGTCTGCAGGGAATACCGAATATTATGACCAATATGATAATTCAATAATTTTTTTAAAGGAATTTCGGGCCTGAGCTTACATATACTGTACATACTAAAAAATCCATGCATAGAGTATAGAAGCATTGAGAGTTATAGGAATAGAGGTCTATTTAATTTTAAATTGACACTCAGGGATTTCAGAGATATGAAAAGAAGCATCTATAAGTAAAAGAAAAAGATAATTAATTCTTTGTATGGTAGGAGTGACACTGTACATGTATTTAGCTACAGTTTGTAAATTTGATATTTTTGTTTGTTTTTCATAACCAAGAATGAGAGATGGACTGGTTGAATCAGGGCCTTTGTTGAATACTGTTAGATGTAAACTTTTATATGTCACTTTCTCAAGAAGAAGAAAAATAGCAGGAAATTTTCACAAACTTAAAAAATATGATGATAACAAAAGAATAAGATATGAGATGTGAATTCATCCATGCGTACAGTATAGAAGCATTGAGGGCTACAGGAAGGATAGGGTCTATGGGATTGTAAAATGATACCTGGTATAGAAACACAGTATAGAAGCATTGAGTGCGATTGGAAGATGAGTCTATCGGATTGTAAAATGACACTCAGGGATTCCAGGGATACTTTGCTTCTGGCCCTCTTTAGTCTTCCATTCTAAACCCATTTAATCTATCTTCATTTTGAGTGGAGAAGTGCTGAGGAGTTAGATTTACAGTCAACAACTAAATCATTCATACCTTTACCAAGTTTTGTAATTTTTTAAGTATTGAAAAATGTGTTTGTCCCAATTCATGTTTCTTGAGAATCTTCTATTCTAAACCCATTTAATCCATCTACAGTTTGAGCAGAGAAGAGCTCAGAAGTAGATTTATAGTTAACAAATAAGTTATTCATACTCTTACCAAGTTTCGTAAGTTATTAAGCTTTGAAAAATGTATTTGTCCCAATTTATGTTTCTTAAGAATGTGACATATGAAAGCTTACATATTAAAGTATTCCACAAAGGCCATGATTCAACCAGTCCAACTTTCATTCTTGAGTTATGAAAAACACAAAAAACATCACATTAACAAGGCCTATCAATAATTTAGTTCACTGTATGTGTACAAATGCTTTTAGAAAAGATGGTGTCACATTCTATGAACAATAGATTACTAACAATTTTAAAGTAGACATTCACCAGTCTTGAAACTCTGGATATGATACACTTAACAATTTTGAAAGAAGGTTGATATTTTGTGGAATTGACAGATTGATAAATGGTATAGGTAGTATGATGTCATATGGAAGGATGTTTGCAAGATCACATGTATTCTTTACTAGATATCAGCTGATATGTCCCCGTAAGTAAGGGAACTATTAACATACTTCGATCAAAGAGTTACGTAGAAGCAGATCTCAGCTCTGAAAAGTTGACAAAGAGTTCTTCACATCTCATTCTGAAAGGAACCTAATTTTCTGTAAAAGGATTAATAGAATCTGTAATTACGAGTAATACAAACTTGTAGATGTACCTTTACATCAGTTGGTCTTAGAACCAAAATAAATACCGGGGTTAAGCTCAGCACGTCGTATAGACATGAACGGACTCATATGTTTTCATTGTCATCGTACATCTGTCTCTACAGAAGGGGTTATGAGCTGACAGACTATAGATACGATGGCTGCAAAGTTCAAATAGTTGACAGTTAAATGCCTGAACTAAATTAGATTGGCTTCGGGGGGCGTGCTAATTTGGGAAGTCGTGTCAAAACGGCAGGGAACGATGATAAAAGAGCACCCTAAACTGGTAGATTATAACTTCCTCCTACGATATTTTAGAGGTTGTGGCGTAAAGATTCAAGGAACGGATAGAATAGTTTGTGCCTGCCGAATCCTTTGATGATTTTGTTTTAGATATTTATAAATGAAGGCCCTTAATTAATTTGGCTATAAGTTGTTGTACAAGAGTAAACTCTGTGTTTTGTTTAAAGACAAAGTGGAATAGAGTGGGTCCTCAGGATTGGTCTGGAAACAAGGATAAAGGAGATGAACTTTAGAAAGATATAAAGATGGGGAAAAGGAGAGAAAGATTGGGAAAAAAGAAAAGAGATTGAGAAAGAGAGGGAGAGGGATTTTTGTTAGAGAAACATGAGTGAGCCTATATTTTTTTCTGCAAAACAGACTTTGATGATGAAATATTTCAATTTATTCTTTTGAAGTAGAGAGCTCTATAAACTCTAACCACATTCAAAACAATATATGTTTCATAAGTTCAATTATTATGTAAAACCATTCAAAACTTATAATGTTCAATACTAATAGCTCTAGTTTTGTTTCACAATGGTGAGGGTCAGTGCACAGTCCTTGGAACAATATTTATGTGTATTTCATGGATGAATGAATGGCCTTTAAATTGTGATGTCAGTAGCGTCTTCTTTCTGCAAACATATCATGTTGATAAATGCTATGTACCTGACTGATAACCCTTGGATACCAATGACACAAGGCCATCGGGGCATGTGCTCCTGCTGTGTGAATGAATAAACCCCATTTACACAGCCCCAAAAAATTGATGTACGGCTTTATAAAAAAATCTATTATAAGTACTATTTTCTATTCTAACCATTGTATTATGAAATGTTGGATCGTGACACATATATTAGGGTATTGTTTTGAGAAGAAAACAAAGATTGATAATCCTCCTCCCCCCCCCCCCATGTTTAAATAACATGAAAAACTAGTCTAAACAATAGAAAACATTCAACATAAATATATGTTGTATAGCAAAATGAACTGTATGTCTGAGCATTGTTATGAAAGATAAAAAGCTTTAAATTAAGAATCAGGGACCTGGGACCCGTTTCACAAAGCCTTTTTCAAAAGAAAAATGACAAAAATCTGTTGACAACCAATCAGAAGCAAGGATTTCACTAGCTTATAACAAAAACTTTCATTTGTCACTGATGGCAACTTTTGTGAAATGGGGGCCTGTTCTTGTCCGAACAGCATGTTAAATAAAAGTGTGTAAATGCATTGGGCTTATTGTGAGTGCGCACTAATGATTGGTCAGCTGTCATGTTATACACTGTTGTTACCCAGAGTGTACGCCCTATTCACTGTACGATGATTCTATATTTAAAGTGACGTTTCAAGTTTTGTATAAATTTCCTCCGGTCTAAATAGGCCATAAGAATTCAGAGCTGAGATGTAGTCAAGGAAAAGATGACACATTCTTGTATTCATTGCCTGGGAAGTTTAATGAAGTGAGAATGATTCTGGTGGAATCTTTAAGATTCCAGTGCAAGAGGTCATTGCATTTGGAGAGTAGATGTTTCATCAATTTTGAAAGGTTTACGGGGTAGGGTATGAAATTAAATACTACTCTTGCTCAAAATTGAAATCATCTTTATTTTGTTACTATCACAAAATTATATTATGAATATTTTTTGTAGAGATGAGACATGTTTTAATCATTGAAATGACTATTTAAAAAAATGAAGGTTTTGTTAACAGAAAGCATACTTTTTTTGTCCCTTTTCATGAGATTTTTTTCCATGTGATTTCATTTTAATATCATGAAAGAATTCTATCTGCTGGTATACAGTAGATGCCACTATGGAACTAAAGAAAAGAGCTTTCATGATAGGTTAAATTTAATTTGAGAAAAAAGAACAAAGTGCCACAAAGTTTGTACCCATGCTTCTTTTTATCATGAGGAGGATATTAATATTTTCAAGTATAATACATTGCCTGAAGTCGTGCTTTTCTGAAATTAATATTATATTTAACGAGAGTCTTTGCTTGTTCATTTATGGCGTAATAACATGAATGGACAACTTGAAAACATTGTAGCAGCCAATTATCCTTGCCCTGTCTGTT